GGCCAGCCAGTCTAGCTAGGAGCAATTGAGAAAGGCAACAAAGGTTGACCTCTGGCTGCCACATTCATGGGCATGTACATGCACCCTATCAGTTAATTTCCCTCTCTATCTCACACACGCATGCTCACACACACACACACACACACACACACACACACACCCACACACACACAGAGAGAGAGAGAGAGAGAGAGAGAGCTCATAAATAAACTATCATTCAATTTATGTACTTTCTAAGTTTTTTTTTTAATTCTTTGTGAAAGCCACACCCCCCCCCCGGTCGTGGGGCACAGTGCCTGCTCATCCCCAGTATAAGGACGGCTTGTGCCATCCCTGCTCCCCCCGACAGCATCCTGTCAAGGACCCACTTGAGCATCTTCTGTTAGCATAAAGTCACTTGTCAGCAGTTTTCAGAGTCTGTCTCCATCTTAAGTCCCTGACTACAGATGTCTCTCCTTTTCCTAAGGACAAATAGGGACTGTTCTTCACCCCTGTGCAGTGCTCCCCCCCCCCAGTCTCTGTCCTTTGGGGTACAACAGAGCTGGTAGCAGTGTGTGGGAATCTTGTAGAGAAAGCTGCCACAGTAGAGGAGAGGGCTGGCAGAGCTGTTCCGGAGCTGGGGTGAGGGTAGGGCAGCTTTCCCGGTGAAGGTTTTCTCACAGCCATACCTAGAGACACTGAGAAGCCACAGCAGAGCCATCGTGCATTTGACGTTCAAGTGTTAAAATTGATTTGATTAGAATTTGGGAAGTCTATGGATTTGACTTTTATTTTTATAATTGAAGTTTTAATTTTTTACAGTAGGCTGTCACTATTTAGCCCTGGAGTTATGAAAACTCGATATGTAGATCAGACTGGCCTTGAACTCACCGAAATCCACCTGCTTCTGCCTCCTGAGTGCTGGAATTAAAGGCGTGTGCCACCAACACCCCTAGTGGATTTGACCTATACATTTTGCCTATGTGGATAATTTCAGTAATTAAAATGTGTAGGTCTTATCTTCAGGGCCTTATTTGCTCTAACTTTTGGCAGAATGTGTGCAGCTACAGTTATTTGATTGGCAAGCCTATGAGTTTGATCTTCTGTGCTTCTTTAAATGATGTCTCTGTGTGTTTAGCCACGTAAGTAGAGAGAAAGCTGAAGTCTGGCATTTGTTGTGCAACACATGTCACTTAGGCTTAAAAATAGCTTTTCCCTGTCTAGGGCTGGGGTGCAGTTCTAACTCGTGAGCTGTGGTGAGCATTTTTGAGGGCCTTGGTCTGCTCTCTTGGGGCCAGCAGGTGCACATCACAGAATACCCAGGCACACGGCACCTGTGTAAAAGCCAGGCAATGGCTGGCAGGCACAGTTGGCCCTGGGAAGACTCCTGGAGATGCAGATTTGGTCATTTTTCCATCAGCCGAGGATTCACCTGACAACTTGCAACAAATTCAACTTGAAAAACACTCCAAAATGTTTGTATTTCATTTACTTCAAGCCTGCTAGAACCTCAGGTGAAAATACCTAAATCCCCACCAAAAGTGACTTTTCCAGAAAAGCCAAGCTTTGTTAAGACAATATTAAAAGTCTAATCATGGCTACTCTGTGAGTCAATGCCATTTGCACATTCAGGAGAATAAAAAGTTCACATGTGTTTAAGCATTTAAGAGACCAATTTTAATCTCCTGGTATCCTCCTTTAATAGAAATGGTTGGTGGATAGCAGAGCTTGTCAAGGTAACACATGCTACATTTTGGATTCCCATTGGGTATCAGTCTTTTAAAACATTTTCCTAATTACAAAAAAAATTTAAGAACAGCATTTCTCTAATGATTGGATTAGAGTCACTAAAGTTTAAGACGAGAGGACTTGAGTTGCCATCAGATTTCCAAGTGAATCTCAGCTCCGGGCTGCTGTGTCCACAAACAGCAAGTAATTTAACTAATAAAGCATAAAAAGGGGACATCAATAAATACTTACGTTCGAGCATGTCCAGTATTTTTAAGATGTATTTTTTATTTATGTATTTTGTGTTTGTGTGAGTATATGCCAAGCCAGAAGAGGGCATTGGATCCCCTGGGGCTAGAGTTACAGGTGTTGTGAGCCACCCCACATGAGTGATAGGAACTGAACTCTGGTCCTCTGGAAGACCAGCAAGTTCTCTTAACCACTGACTTTCCCCAGCCAGTGTTCAATGTTTTTATAATATATAGACTAACATTCCAAGTGAAATAATGTCTTCAGAACCTGGGGGATAGGTCTTTTATTCCTTTCCTCAAATGAAACTTTTAATCATCATGGATTAAGAAAAATGTTTTTCTGATGGTCAGCTTAAGACAGATAGATAAGCTCACATCACTCAAGTGTCAGATTTGTTTCTTGTATTAAAACAAGGCCTTTTCATAAGATGTAACAGCCACTGTGTGTGGGTAATTGATAACTTGTATTTACTGAGCCCTTATGATGTACCAAGCACTGTGTGTGTGTGTGTGTGTGTGTGCGCGCGCGCGCGCGCGCGCGCGCGCGTGCGCGCACATGCATGCACAGGTATGCCCCTGCCATCCCATTGTACCTGAGGGAATGTCTGCTAGGCCCGACTGTGCTGGCCAGGCCCTTCATTTGATATTTATTCAGAGGCCACTGCCTTCAGGACACCTAGGCTGCTGTGTGTTTGCTCATCTGCTGACCCACTGCCTTCCTCTTGGGGACCATAAGGTTCCAGTAGGCTGGGGCACTTATACCTCTGTCTCCTTTTCCTCACACAAAGCCTGTGTTGTGTACAGATAAGCTTGTCTCACAAGTGACCACAAGGTGGCACTTCCCTATGGGAGCCCTGAATGACTTATTGAGAGTGGAGTCATGTCAAACAGTAGACCCTTTTAATAAGCTCATAGACCCCAGTGTGCCTGTGTTTGTAGCTCCTATTGAGCAAGATGATGGGCCAATGCTGGCACTGACATAACTTGGGCATCCTCCTGCTACTCAATTTTTATATTTCACAAACTTACGCAACCCTGCCAAGTCACAACTCTTTGCTTAGTTCTTGTCAATTGCATAATCGTAGGCTTCATTATGACACTTCCATATTGGTATTTAACGAACTTGGAGCATATTTAATCCCAATTACCCTTTCTCGGGTCCCATCTCCTTCCCCCCACTTTCACAGTCCTAATAGTTCCCTACCCTTTGGGCTTTCATGTCTTCTAAGTTATACATATCAGACAAAACACAATTCTTGTCTTTGTGAGTCTGGTTCCATCCATTTTCTTACAAATAACATAATGCTGTTCCTGTTTATGAATGAACCTGTTATATATACAAACCACATTTTCTTTCTCTGCCGGTCCCTTCATCTGTGATGTATACAGAATGTTTCTGTCCTTTGGCTTGTCCACAGGTTTCTCTGTGATGGGCTGTCTTTGAGTCTTTGGAATCTGAGCCAGAAATGGCATAGTTGAGTCATGCACTGGCTCAAGCTTTGATTGTTTGAGGGACTTCCATGCTCATTTCCATGCATTGGCCCACATTCCCACATGTCCACCAGCTGTATGTAAGGGTCATATTCCTACACACACACACACACACACACACACACACACACGCCCTTACTAACGGTTGTTGGATTTTTTGTTTCTTGTTTTTGTGTTTGTTTTGTTTTGGAATCTTGATGGTAGCCCTCTGATATGGGTGAGAAGGGACCTCAGTGTCGTTGTGATTTGTATTTCTCTTGTGGCCCGTCATGGTGGTGACATTTTGCGTATGCTTCTTGGCAGCCAGTGCATTTTATTTATTTCACCGTGGCTAATCACATGGTGTGATGTGTGGATTTCCCTAACTCCTGAGACAGCTTCATTCCCTGCCACTTCCACGTGCCCACCGAACTGGCACACGTGGGTCTTCAGCCGGCATCTGCTATGCTACAACCAGGCAGTTACCGATTAACAAGTGCATGTATCCAGTGTCCCACGAAACTCGTTACTCATTTGCTCTGATTGAAAGCCCTTCTTTTGCAAAGTGGCAGTAGCTGCATCCTATGACCTCCTTCCTGGAACCCAGAGATTCTCTGTAACCATTTCTTTCACTCTCATGTCTTTCCTTTTTCTGTCACCACCACAAAGCTGTCCCCGGTCCCCGTTGCTCCTTCCTCCCTCAATTCCTTCAGATTTCCAAATCAGAAATCTGGTTCAGCTCCATGGTGAGCGACTACACACGGTCTGCCTGTCTCCGATGCTGGGCTTGTGTGTGCCTGTCTCTGCATGCAGCCTTCCGGCCAGCGGTATTCCACCATGCTTTCAAAGGAGCAACCTGGACTCGTGTAAAAATATCAGGGTCTCTCTTCCTTAGGATATAAAATAAAATCTGTTCAGAAGAGAGAAGCCAGCCTTCTCCTAACGAGAGATCCACGGCCCTGAATCATGCAGTGAGACCACTTGCCTGCCCCACAGCCTGTGGTTGCTTTTACGTTCTTGCCGTGACATGCAGACTGTAGCCCCAAGTCCCCAAGGACAGTTAACTTTGTGACAAAATGAGCCTTGGCCTTTCTGCTCATTTAGTAATGTAACAGAATCCTGGTTCTCATACCCAGCTGAGCAGCCATCCTTGCTTTAAATGGTTTTATGTTTTCTGTCTGGATCTTTCAGCAAGGGGTTAAGTCTCAGGACGCTTCTGACACAATAGATCATTTCTAAGCAGGATTTCATCTCTAGACCCAGGTGGTCCCTCAAAAAACTCTCAAACTTACTCCAAATAAAGACAGAATGACAGAATTGTAGCTACTGTAATCGAAAGCTCCTACTATGGGCAGTTCTAACACGCCTTACATGGTCCTTGGCTAACCCTCCAACTCACAGCCTTCTCCTCGTTCTCTATGAGGCTGCTGAGATCAGTGACTTGCCCCAATCCCGATGGCTTCCTTGGCCTGACGCCTTCATCTGCAACTCTTTGCAGCTTGGGAGGTGGAGAGCTGTGTTGACCACATTCTCCACTACAGTCAGGCGCATGAGTTTTAACCTTGTCACACTTTACCTTTCTCTCCTGTCATTCCCCACCAAGCCCAGAAATGCAAAATCTCAAGGTATTATATGTGTAGCTCTACACATGTCAGTCCCGTGTGGTCACGTGTGAAGTAGATGTCATGTGACTTCCAAAGATTGTGTTTGCACAGTAGAAGCAGACTCTTGGGTGTGGATGACAGTGTGTTCTCAAAGCTCTCTTGTGTCTCTGCAGCTGACGAAGGGAGTGATGATGGAATCGAGAGGACGGGATAATCTCTGGGACTAGACACAGGGCGGTGGGTCTAGGTCCTATCCCAAAGGATATGACAGACTCTTAAGACCTCCTATGGAAGGCCTCACCCTCCCTTGAACTCACTCACTCTGTAGCCCAGGCTGGCCCTGAACTCACTCACTCTGTAGCCCAGGATGGCCCTGGAGATGGTGTCCCTGAGTCAGCCTCCCTATGCACACAGGCCTGGCTTCTTTCTTGTTGCCTTCCTTACCAGTATTTACGGTATGACTTACATTTTTTTTTTTTTTTTCAGGGCAACAGTGCCATTTGCTTTTAAAATGTTAGGGTGGCTGTAAGACCAGTTAATTGCACAGTGAAATCACACAGGATCAGAGGTGAACTAAAAGCCTATGGATATCAGTTGGGCTCCAGTCTGAGCTGCACATTTTGTCACAGCAGCCAGATCACGGCCACAAACTCCATAGGAGCCCATTGTTAAATAGAACACAGCGGCAAGCCGCGGGGGTCTACAGAGTCCCCAGGAGCAAGGACTCACTCTGTTTCTGCTTTGGAAGAAGAGCCTCTGTTATTTACCATGATGAGTGCGAAGCATGGATGGGTTCTAACAGAATTTTATACATTAAAACGGCAAAGCGAGAGCATTTCTCAGTAACTGTAAATGTTGAATCACCAGGCTAGAAGCATACACTGTTTTCTTCTGCTGCTGGTCTGTTAGATAACATCTAGTCATCTTTCTAATAAGCTCAGCTCGAATATAAACAGCCGGATCCCATGGTCTCTGGGGTGAGTTTTAACATTGCAGACCACACAGGTATTCATGAGCTGTGTGTAACTTGACCTCTTCAGAACAAGGACAGAACCTACTGCAGAAGTTGAGAAATCACCAGGTTTCCCTCAGCTGGCCCTGGGATTGTGCTTGACTCCCTTTTGCTTGGTGTCTGGGAGAGACCTGCATGATAGTTTTTTCTCACTGATGTGACAAGGTGCCCAGCAAAATCAAATTAAGGAAAGATGGGCTCATTTTGGCTCACAGTTCTGTGGGGTTATTCCATCATCCTGGGAGAGAGGCAACTTCAGTTAGAGACAGTGGTGGAAGGCTGGGAAGCCAGCTGGCCACGTGGCTTCCCCCCCTCAGGAAGCAGAGTGAGCAAGGACAGGATCTGGTCTCCAAGGCCTCAAGGCCCACCCCCTGGTAGCTCACCTCCTGTGGTGAGGCCACACAGCCTCCTCAGACAGCACCTCTGGATGGGGACAAATGGTGTGAACCCGTGGAGACATTTCACATCTGTCACTAGTGAAACACACAAGAAAGTGTTTTCCTGTTGGGTGAAAATGTGTCAGCCCCAGAGAAATGGAGGAATTCTGAGAGTAGGCTTCAGGCATTCCCTTGGTTGGAGGGAAAATAAGGGCAGAGAGAGAGGTTTCTCTTCTCTAACCAGGGCGACTGTTTGTGCTCACTCAGAGGACACCTCTTGCTTTATGCCAGACAGTGTGCTAACGTGACAGCCATGAAGTGAGTGTGCATTCCATGTGTGTTTCACACTTCGGTTGCAGGAGCCCTTGTTCGCCGCCCGGGTGGTTTATGACCTCCTCTTCTTCTTCATTGTCATCATCATCGTTCTTAACCTGATCTTCGGTGTGATCATTGACACCTTTGCTGACCTCAGAAGTGAGAAGCAGAAGAAGGAAGAAATTCTCAAGACAACCTGCTTCATCTGCGGTAGGTGCCCCTCCACCCTGTGTTATGACGAGAGATGGGTAAATCACCCCTAAGATAACGGATTGACAAACTGCTTAGCAGGAAGGAGGGGTGAGAATCATTTCCAGTTTTCAGGTTTTAGGGGAAATTATTTTAGTGTGAAGGCTGGACAACATTCAGGTTACGTAATGCCACGTGAGACTGACACTCTCTGCTTCCATAAATAGATGCAAGAATCACCCCCAAACTCCCCTGCCATTATTTCTGCAATTTGTACAGTCCTCTGACTGTAGAGTGTGCTGCCAGATGCCAGGAGGTTCCACCAACTGGCAGATGGGTTTTTAATCACAATAGCATATTGAGTGTATTACAGAGTGACTTTTTATTTTGCTAGATTACGAATCACAAGTTTCCACTCATTGGCATCACTATCTTAGATTCAAAACCAGGCATTGTCCCAGTGTTAAAGCTATACACATATACATAATATGTATATCACAGACCATACAACTGCTATAGAACATGCCCCATACACATACATCATACACCTGCCATACCCCATGCACCGGCAGCAC